TGGCTTGGCAGGAGGCACAATTTTGGGGATCACAGATTGGGTTTCATTTTGCCATTTAACTTCAGCCTTGGTTTAAAAAGGAATAGAGATTCTTATTCCATTATCTGGATTAGCTGTTTGGTTTTGTGTCCCTCCAGGTATTAACTGCTTCTACTTATTCCCTTTCTTCAGCAGAATCCTGTCCCTTGCCCCTTCCCTTCTATTTAAACTGTATGCCACTCTGTTCCCAGCATCTGCTGAAGTAGGTTGTTGCCTCTGACAGCTCATGACTCTTTGAACCAGGTAGGGCAGAGTGGCACCTTTTAGAGATGTATCTTCTGCATGACTTGAGACTAACATGGCTAATAACATACCTCTGCTCTACAGCTCTGTTCACTCCTATAAAGTGAGTGTAACACCAGTCCAGAGCTGAGGCTTGGCTGGTCAGGATTCACCAAGTATTTTAAGATCTTTAACTAAGAGGTACAAAATAGAAATGATGATGGGAATAGTGTTCCAGTTATTTACTTAGGGAAAAGTGGGCCCAGCAGCAGAAAACTGACACCACTTCAAAAAAATCTCTGCTGGGTTTTGACACCTGAATGATGACTCCACATGGGCAGCATGATCCCGTTACCCTTTCTGTACACACATGCTATTGACTTGAGTATTACAAGACCTCTGTATTGGGCGCTTGCTTACCAGTAGGAGACCATGTTCACCATACTGATATGTGTTTGATCTCACTGTTATCTCTGAAAGACAGGAGCTTCCCTCCTGTCTTTTGGTTCTGGTGCTCACTTCCTATGCATCTCCTGCAGCTGGGAAAGATGAGATTGACAATCCCATGTCGTGCTGTGACCTGCACACATCTGCAGTGTTTTGATGCCGCTCTTTATCTACAAATGAATGAGAAGAAACCCACCTGGATTTGTCCTGTTTGTGATAAAAAGGCAGCTTACGAGAGTCTGATATTAGATGGGTAAGAGAGAGTGTGTATGTGTGTGTCTTTTTTTAAACTTTTAGTTTTTAACTAAATACAGCAGTTAAGGAAAACCTAACTAAAGAACAAAAACCTATGCTATGTTTTAACATTGAGACTTAGATTTAGGTAATAAGTTTTGACCACGTGACTTCCAAATTATTTCCTTAAATATTCGTAGATACTAATCTAATCGGACCTTCATAACAGAAATCATTGTAGTAACTCCTTCATAAAGTGCACAAATTGTTTGCCTCAGCTCTGGAATATCATTTAGACTTGAGAGAGGGCACTGCATCCTCTGGCACATGAAAGAAAATTAGCAGGCTGTACTCTGAAACCATCTTTTCAAATCAGACCCTAAAACATTTTGAAAGTGCTTAATATAAACCTATGCTTTTTATCTCTAGTCCTCACTATTCCCCTTCAAGGTCCATGAATACCAGCAGTGCCCCAAAGTGGAGTGTGAGGGAGGGACTGCAGTTTTCTTTACAGACCTGAAATTCCTAGAGAATTAATCGGGACCTTAAACGTTATTAGAATGTTGCTGTAATACCCCGCGGTAGACTCGACTTCTCTCGATAGCTTGTTTGATGCAGTTCAAATTCCATCAACTGCATCTTCTCACTTGGCTTGAGACTAGGAACAAAACTAAAGCAGCTTGTCTTTATTTTCCAGGCTCTTTATGGAAATACTTAATGAATGCTCTGATGTGGATGAGATTAAATTCCAAGAGGATGGTTCTTGGTGCCCTATGAGGCCTAAGAAGGAAGCTCTGAAAGTATCCAGTCCACCGTGCACCAAAATAGAAAGTATGTGTTAGAGTACTGAATGGCAAACAGATAAAAATAGATGCTGTCATGTCGTAGACTCTTAGGATACAGAAGTGCTAGGGTACTACTAACACCCAAACTAATTCTTTACCCATTTACATTTTAAATGTACACCTGCTTCTTTGAAAGAAAAACACCCAGCATTTTGCATGATTGTTTTGGGAAATGGAACACAGAGCTGCTCTAGATGACTCGGGTTTCTAGTTTTAATTTCTGTGATTCCTAGTCTTTGATCTCGGAAAGCAGGGTCCTGATAACTACTCCCTATGTAGTAGTCAGGAAAGCCAGCTAAATTAAATCTGAGGTGTTGCACATGCTGCAGATGGCAGCTGCTGATATCTGCAAATTTCTGAACAGCCATGCTTTTTATTTTTGTTCTCCAGGTTCCAGCGTTGTCAGCAAACCATGTTCTCTGACCATGGCCAATGAGACAAATAAGAAGAAAGTTGATGTTATTGACTTGACGATAGAAAGCTCTTCCGATGAAGAGGAAGATCCTCCTGCCAAAAGGAAGTGCATATTTATGTCTGAAACGCAAGGAAGCCCGACCAAAGGGTTTGTTAATTTTAAAGTTAGTTGTTATTCTGTAATGTCTCATATGAACTGAAATGTGGATGAAGCTGTAATCTCTTGTGAATGGAGTTCCAGACTTCACAGGAGAATTTTGTTAGGCCTTTTCTTGCTGAAGGCTGTATTAATACAGTATCTTTGTACAGGCAAAGTGTAATTAAATAGTTTTACGTCACAGACTTGCACTGACTGTTGCTCTGTTTCCAGGAATGACCTCCCAAGAAAAGGCAATTGATGATAAGCTGATGCAATAACACGGGTTCTCCTCATGCCACAGGAGCTGAGGGACCATCCCAGTGCAAAATGCTAATGCATTCTTGCTAAACTAGTTTCTACTTAAGATTTGAAAATGTATGGCAAATTAGCGAGGGGGGGGGCAGGGAAGGGGTGCTGGTGTCCTCTGCCTCCCTAAATCCTTTTCTGCTGCCTCACTATGCTGAAGTCCATTCTGCCAACCCTGGAAGGGAAGGGCTTTTACTTTGTACAAACATCTAGATTTTTCCTTGCAAAGTTTGCAGACAGCTGAACTTAAACAAGAATTCCCTGTCAGAAGAGGCCAAGAAATGCACCAAATGTTCAGTAGAGTAACAGAAGAGAGATTGGGAGTTAAGGCTAGAGGAGGCAAGAAGTCATCTTGCTAGAAACAGGTGGGCCATATTTATCCCTGGTGGAATTGCACTGACTAAGGTGGAATGACATGGAAAATGCATTTTGATCTCTTCTTGTTAGGCATTAGCAGAAGTCCAGCTTGCCCCAGATCATATCTGGTTGGTCTCCTTTTATCCCGATTCAGAACTCCTAACTTGCAGCAACATGAACTAGCTTCTTTAGCAATGTCTCTTCCTCCTGCATCCCTTCCATATCTGCATGATTCAGCAGCTGTCTCCCATTACAGCTTTCCCCCAAGACCTTTCTCTGGGACTCCCTTGAGAGCCTGGGAAACCTCCAAATTCCCAGCTAACCATAGAAATGGTTTGCTAGGCTGACCGTTGTCAAAATTTGGTTTTTGTTCCACCCACAGACTACAGAGAGCTAGGCTTTGAGATTCACCAACTACTTAGAACTGTTTCCTGAAGTGTGAGTCATGGTGTAGTGGTTCATGTCTTTAAAAAAAAAAAAAAAAAAAAAA